AGGAGGCCGTCACAGCCAAAAATAGAGCCATGGACAGCTGTCCCAAGCTCTGTTTTCACTGGCAGAGGCACCGCGGGTTGGTCATTTGCTGTTTCCAGGGTGGTCCCATGGGCCAGATCTAAGCACCCTGGGGCCAGATCTGGCCTGTGGGCCTTGAGTTTGACACCCCTGCTTGCCCTAGATGGCAAGTAAAAAAAAACTGGATGGCACATAATCAGTCAATAAAACCTTGCCTGAACCGATACCATGAACTCAGACTGAAGGTAGAACTGTAATCCATCGAATGCAGAGGTTGCCAATCTTTTGGACCTCAGGGACCACCAAACTCATAATTTTAGATCCCAGGGACCACTAACTGGTTCTGTGGGTATGGCTTGGTGGTCATGTGACTAGCTGGGCATGGCTTGTATGTAAATATTATAAATATTTATATAAATATTGAATTTTTTATAAAAAAGAGCAACTTTTACCCAAAATCAGGCAACGCAGGCGGGCACATTGAGTTGCTCACAGAATAACAGATTCATTCAGAGATCTATCTATCTGCCATTGGCTGGCTCAGTCTGTCACATAAAATTTGCTTGCAAGCAAACTCATAAAATTAACTCACAACACACCGTGCATGTAAATATTGAATTTTTTATTTTAAAAATGAGCAACTTTTACCCAAAATCAGGCAAAGCAGGCAGATTGAATTGCTCACAGAATCATTCAGAGATCTATCTATCTGCCATCGGCTAGCTCAGCCTCTCATATTTGCTTGCTGTGAGTCTGCAGTGAATTTGCTTGCAAGCAAACCTTCAGTCCTAAGGGAGGTTCGGCTGTGCTGAGCTGAAGATCTAAAGACTAGCTAGGAGACAAGAAATCCAACCATTTCCTGCTTCCTAGCTAATCTAAATCTCCCGACACAGCAGAACAGATGATGTCAGAAAAAGGAAAAATAGAAATTTAGCAGGCAAGTTTACCAGGTAAGGAGTGAGTGGGCAGGGAGGGTTCCGGTGGGCCATGTGGGTGGCGCAGCCTTGTGTTTCTGCACAGCCTGGATTAATTGCTTTGTGGGGGTGCTCTGGGGGTGAGATTTCTCTGCGGCCCACCAAAATTTTCTCACGGCCCACCAGTGGGCCGTGGCCCACCGGTTGGCGACCACTGATCTAATGGCTCTGCTTCTAGAATGTCTCTTTGCTCCTTTTTGCAGCCCTCTTCAATTTGTACGATAGATACCACCTCACCAGTCTCAGAAAGAAAGCCACCGCTGAGATCTATGAACAAATCAAGGCAGATGATATATTCTCAAACTCTACTAATTCTAGCCCGGTAGGTCTTTTGAAAATACCAGACAGAAATGACTGTTTCTGGAATACAGTGCCTTCGGATGGAGTCAGTTGTCTCCACATGTGAGCTCTTGGCTTAGTTTCCTTTCAGACAGAGAGCTATGCTTGGAACTTACTTATTCTGTTTTCTGGAGGACTGTGGGGGGTTGCAAAATGCCTGACGGAACTTTTTCATTCTGTAGATCTGCAAACCCTTCCATGTGTTGATCTCATGGCACGTGGATGGTCCCAATTCTGCAGCCTTTCAAGAGCATGTCTCCAGAATCTATGATTATCTTTGGTAAGATTGCTGATGCCAAACTCTTTCAAAACCTGTTTTCACCACATGTGAAATATAAGAGAGGTGTTTGTGGATCATGAGGACAATGGAAGATCAGATGCCAATGAAAGACCAAGTCATCTCCTGTCTAATCCACGCTATTTTCCACTATTTTAAGTCCTCCTGCTGCAACACTTGAGAACCCCATCAATCATTATCAACAGCCTTGCTTGATGGGGAATCTAGGATTTGTAATCTATCACTGAGACATAAGATTAGGGAAAGCTGCCCAGAAGGGTGTCACTGTAAAATCCAGAACCGATTTTAGGTTCTGCAAAGGTCTGTCTTCCCCGTTTCCCCAAGAGACCAGAGTTGCCACTGTTAATACTGTTAATTCCAGAGAAGTTTCATTCATGAAAAGAGACTTTAGAAAGGTGTTATCTTCCGCTTCCTATTTTTAAATCTTCTGCATGCCATCATACTCCCATACTATGCCCTGAAAATTAGTCTTCTAGCCTTTGCACATACTATAATCTGTCTTTTTTATACATCTATGCAGGCTGACAGACGAAGGTATAATAATGAAGGTAAGATTGTGGAAAGAAAATTAGTTATTGTTAAAGCCCATCTATCCTTTTATTGCTTTGCAGGCTGGACTCAATTTTTTTTACAGCAATAGTTTTTTTTAAAAAAAATTAAAAAATCAGATTATTTTGATGATCCCCATGCACCTCTTTTACCATGATAATGTTCATAAGTGATCTAAACCATAATTTGTACGTTGTTTAGGAGGTTCTGTAAACCCAGCCATTATGGTATATTTGATATGGCATATTATTTTAGGGCATTCTGAGAACTCAACCAATATGTAGCCTGATCCCCGATTTTGGATCAGAAGGTAAATTTGCACCAAGTAGAAATATAAACAGCTTTGAGGCCTCTGAAGTACTAACTTTTTATTATGGCTTCGGTGAACACTAGTCTACTTCATTAAATGTGTAAAATGTTATCATCAGGTTTAGTTAGATCATGTTAATATGGAGATGGAAAGAAAAAAAACCTAAGGATTTCTCTCCTCTTATTGTCACTTGCTCTGTTTTGACTCTGCAAAAGTCTAGACTTGAAGAGGAGTGGATGTTTGACACGGCATTAATGTGGAAGCACTGTAAATTTTTAAGTATGGTCTAATTCAGAACATGAGCTCCTAGGTGGCAGATTTTGGTTGAGTGCTGTGAAAATTTTCTCAATAGCAGGAGCACTGTTTCTCAAATTTGACCATATTAAGATGAGTAGACTTCAACTACTAGAATTCCTCAGCCAGCAAAGCTGGCTAAGGAATTCTAGATGTTGAAGTCCACATATCTTAAAGTTGCCAAAGTTGAAAAACAGCGAGTTAGACTGTACATTAATTTATTTTTTTAAAAAGACAGTAGACTACCCTTTGTTACGTGTATTTAAGTGGAAGATAGATAGAATTTATCAGGGATGCTTTAATATGGATTCCTGCATTGAGTGGACAAGTTGGACTTGATGATATTGATGAATAAAAAGAGGAATTTGTCTTTTTTTAAAATAAAAAATTAAACTATGTCTTTTTTTTACCTAAGGTGATGGGATCTCAAACCTGGGATGCTACATTTACAGTTCTGGGTTTTCTAGAGGTATATTTTCCTATTATAATCATGTTTAATTGTTGTGCTCGGAAGGCTTAACATAGTTTTAAAAAGACAGCTTTTCAAAGTTTCTGGCCATTAACATATGTAATATATCTCAATCTCATCTCCAAAGTAAGAAGTGTTTAAAGAGACAGTCAGGATATTTGACAGGTTCTGATCTGAGGAGACAATGTCAAAAGGGTAGGACAGATTGCATTAATGGAAGAAAAGTGTTCAATAACTGTTCAGGCAAAGCTTTACTTTACTCCAGGAAGAGATATTCCGATGGCTTCCATCTGTTGTGGACTTTCAGATCTTTGATCATTGATCAAATGGATTGATTTTGTGGGAGTTGCAGTCTAAACAATATCTGGAGGCACCAGATTGGGGGATACACACAATGCAAATATTCGCAAGTTATTCTTGAATTGTCCTGGTTCATGATAGTCATGTCACTTTCACATAATTTCTAAGAAACAGGAATCTTATTGATATAGAAATATTTCTGTGAAACATGTTCAGTAAACAGAGCATTAATAAAGAAAAGTTTCATTCATGGTTGCTATTCACTTATTATTGAAAAACATGCATTTCATTAAAAAGCTGTATAAACTTTTTTTGCTTTCCTGTAAGAGGCCTGTATTTTTTAATCTGTTGACATTTATCTATTTTATAAATCTTTTTTTTTTTCATTTTCTAGGCTGGTGTCCACAATGACCCTGAGTACAATACTTGTCTGAAAAAAGCTCATTCATTTTTGAAATGTTCTCAGGTAAGAAGCTGGCTTGGAATAACATATACTAGACATTAATATTGATTTTAGAGGAGTGCCATCAATTTGATTCCACAAGAGCAGGATGTAGTAATTGCAGTTGTTTAGAAATCATGTCATACATAATACATGGTGGCTGTTTTGAGGTAAGCAAATACTTTTAAGGCATCCACTAATTCCAGATCCAGTTTTAAAATTGTTTATACTAAATGGCCAGCTGCTCCTTTGGATTACCCATCTCTCAATGGCTTCTGGTCATAATTTACAGTTTTGATAAGTGCAATAAAACTATACTATTGGGAATACAGTATTTGTTGTTCATAATGTCCTCTCCTTGATTGAAACCACGCATTTCTATACCCGGGGATCTTTTCCTCACAACTCAGAAAACAGAACTTGAACACACCAAAGCAAATTTATAGATGCTATATAAGCAACCCTTAGAGAGCCAATGTGGTATTATAGTTAAGGCACCAGGCTACAGTAGAAACCGGGAGACCATGAGTTCTAGTCTTGCCTTAAGCGTGAAACCAGATAGGTGAGTTGGGTCTAGTCCGTCTCAAATTAGGAAGAAGTCAATAGCAAACCATTTCCAAAAACGATGCCGAGGGAACCTTGAATCAGTGAGAATCAGGCCTGACTTGAAAAAAAGTAATCCTTACTGAAATATGCCTCCCAAACCTGTGGGTAGCAGGGGCCTGGCACTGAGTAACAGCCTTCACTTTGCTGCATGGACATGATGTCAGATGAACCAAAGCATGTTTTGTTTTGTTTTTGCCATTGTAAATTGCCTTGGATTAAGATGCTATTAATGTCTTCTTTAGATTGTAGATAATCCACCCAACTACCAGAGATACTATCGTCAAATGAACAAGGTACTTTCAAAACGGTAGCCAATAGAAAGGATACAAACTAGTAGAAGCTATAAAGAAGAGAGAAATAAATATTTGACACTTAGTAGCTTTTCACCTTTTCTCTTCAATCAGCAGCCCTCAAGTTTTTGGGCACCAGGGAATGGTTCTATGAAAGGCAGTTTTTCTATGGACGTGGTGGAGACTGGAGGAGAGATGATTTCATGCGCTATCTGGATCCTGTGCATGCATAGACGGGGCTTTGTTCTCTTGAGCAGCCTGGTTCCTGATTGGCCGTGGACCAGTCTGGGAGTTGGGATGCCTGCTTTAAATAGATATTTGTGGCCCAGAAATGCCTTTCCTAAAAACCTTAATTAATTTGAGTGAAAGAAAAATTAATGTCTTCATTAGTTTTTATCAAGTTGGCTATATCCTTCAGGAAGAATCCAAACCATGTTCTAAATGTTTTCCTTGCTTTTATTTCTTTCCTTTCAGCTGTATTCTGACAGAGTTCTAGCACAGAAGTTTAAGAAACAGCTGTGCAATAAAGTATATAACATATTAAAAGGTTCAAATGCATTAAAGTAACTCTCCCTGAAGCTTAAATTAAGAGTTGTTGGATTGTATTAAATGATAATAAATTTAATAAAGAATACAGTGCCACCTAAATCCCATACTAATAGATGAGGATCAAAGATACTTGCACCAATACTTTATTATTTATTTATTCATTCATTCATCCCCCCCCCCCCCCATCATACTGTAAGGTAACTCTGGGTGGCTTACAGTCATAAAATATATATCTACATTAAAACATAAATTAAAACCAAAGACTAAAATCTAAGGACATATAGGGAGGGTGGGGCAGAATAGGAGGAGGTGTTGTTACTTGACCAACCACTGTGCCGTTTCCCCACTGGTCCCAGAGCCAGTTCTTTAGGCCAAAATGAAAGACGGTTGGGGCCAACCTCACAAGATGTTCCTGAGGCAATAGGAGAAAAGGCCCTCCTCCTGGACCCTGCCAGCCCAAATAATCGGCCCGATGGGACCCACAACATGCCTCCTCTGCTGGCACAAGTGGGATGGGACAATCCCAGTGGGGTGACACAGTCCCTCAAGTAACTTCCAGAACTGAGTCTAGAGCTGAAATGTAGATCCTTTTCTTTTATGGAAGCAAGCAATCTACAAAGAAACGTCTTCTTAATGTCTTTTTCAAAATCACTAGGGAGGATTCCCCTTCAGCAATCGGGACAACGACTGGATAGTCAGTGACTGCACTGCTGAAGCAATTAAGGCATTGATGTTACTTGAAGAACAATGTCCTTTTATAGAAGATCACATAGCTCCACAACGTCTCTTTGATGGCATCAATGTGGTGGGTCCAGGGAACCCCCAAGGAGAAAACATGGGATTGGGGTTAATGGGGTTTCTAACAGTGGTGGGATTCAAAAAAATTTACTACCAGTTCTGTGGTCTTGGCATGGCTTGGTGGAAGTGGCTTGGTGGGCGTGGCAGGGGAAGGATACTGTAAAATCCCTGTTCCCTCCCCACTCCTGGGGGAAGATTACTGCAAAATCCCATTCCCTCCCCACCCCACTAACCTTCTTTCCAGCTCCGTTCTACTGTGCAGGGAAACAAAAGAAGACCCAGCCAATCAGCTGGGACTCAGGAGGCAGAGAATAGACGGGGCAGGGCCAGTCAGAAGTGGTATTTGCCGGTTCTCCGAACTACTCAAAATTAGGACATTTTTTTAAAGGAAGGACTAAACGATCTGCCCTCAACTTTCCTCCACATCAAATATCCATAAGTAACTACAAATATTGAATAGGCAATATATAAACAATAAGAATGTAAGCACTGGACTTTCTCCCTTCAACCAAAAAGAATGAACTTCTGGAAATAAGCATTTCAAAAGGAATTCTTTACTGAAAGGGAGTGATCCCAGCACTAGTCAAAGCAGAGTCTACGATGCTTCCAGGCATACAGTAATAGATAAAGGGAGTTACAATCCCTCCCCTTATTTAGATGTGGATTCCCTTCTCTGGGAATGTATCTTAGAAGAGTTCCTAGGGGTATCTTCCAGAGCTGGAATTTTTATGGTCCCTTCTCATCTTGTTATCTCTTCAAGAGGTGACAAGTTTCTAGACATCTGGCTCCAGTCCTCCAGTTGTATATCATGTGCAGTTATACAGAATCAATATAAGATTTAATATATTCAGGTTACATCAAAAAGGATTACTTGTACCAACTCCCCCCCCCATCTTCTTCCATTGAAGAATGGCAGATACACAGATCTGACAAAGAATGGTGATCTACTTACTCTTGAGTTTTAGGACATCTTCTATGTGTACATAGATTAACCAAAATATTTTGTTCCTTGATGTAAAGGAGAAGGCGATGCCTTCTTTCAAAAGCGAACTTTTACGATATTCTGATATTGACAATGGAATAACATCCATCATTGTACACACAACTGGGCCTGCTAAAAACTTGCTATTATTCCTGTGTATTTTTTTTATTCAAATCAGCTGTGTAATGATAGGATGAGCCTCGAATTTGTGCCTAATTTTTGTGGGAGGTGTCTAAAAAGGTCACTTCTAATGCCATGCCACCTGTTTCTTCCTGCATCTATTTCTATAAATATGCAGCTCCTGAACATGACAAATTCTGATGGTGGCTTTTCCTCTTATGAAACCAGACGAGGAAGCTGGATATTAGAGGCCATAAACTGTGCAGAGACCTATGGTAAGAAGAAATTATCAGGTGTTATGTGCAAAATTCAGAATAGAGACCATGATTGGAATGTAGCTAGTTTTGAGGGCATGGATGCAGGCTTAGGAATTGAGTAAATCCTGCTAGTTTCAATTCTGGATTGAGAGATCACCTGTACTCTCAACCTGTGCTAACAGACACAAGTCAATCAAAACCAGGAACTGTGTCTGAAGAACTCAATAGGCAGTCCAGTCCAAAATAGTAATTGATTCAAATTCAAAGAAGGAAAATGAGATGAAGTAAGGAAATCTCTCAAACCCTTTGAGCAAAAAAGGCTATTTAAACCAAAAGACGTGAACATCATTTAAAACCAAGCACAGGAAATCATCATTTAATAACTGACTCATGCAACAACAATTTTCAGCTACAACTGTGATGAAAAAACTAACTTTGCAACCAGTCCTTGCATTCATGACTATTGCAAGTCTGTCAAGGAAAGAAAAGCTGAAATAAGACCAAAAGCACAGTTTGGTTTCACTCAGAGACCACTTCGCTTGATGAGTTGCTGGTCTAAGTTGTGGTTACTAAATGAGGACTACCTGTATAGTCCTAAGTCATTTAATGGAACTGAGCTGAGGAATCACAATACTTTGTCTAATTGTTATATTGATACTCCCTTAATGTAGCCAAAATGAAGTCAGTTGGTTTCTTTGCTCATGGAGAAGCTAAGATACTGCAGCATTGCTGCTAAAGTGTCCTGTTTGAGTTTCCTAGCTTCCTCAAGCTTGCCTTGGAGATGGTCCAGAAATTATAGTGAGATCACAGTGCAATGATTACCCTCTTGATTAAAATGCAGATAGACATATAAGGTTGTGCAAGTCATTATGTATGTTTATGAGTTTAAGGAATCAGGTTTCAGAACTTACTAGTAGTAGATGACCATGCGGAGCCCAAGGAAAGAGTCAAACACGTTATCAGTCTCGAGTTCCTTTGCACCCACAATAAATCTGTACAGGTAGTCCTAAATTTATGACCACAATTGATCCCAGAATTTATGTTGCTAAGTGAGAAATTTGTTAAGTGAGTTTGCCCCATTTTACAACTTTTCTTGCCAGATTTGTTAAGCGAATCACTGAAGTTGTTAAAATTAGCAACGCGGTTGTAACACAAAAAGGGATCGCATCACTCTGGAACACTGCAACCGTCATAAATATGAACCAGTTGTCAAGCATCTGAATGTAAATGCCTTGACCATGGGGATGCTTCAGCAGTCATAAGTGTGAAAAATGGTCATAGGCCACTTTTTTCAGTGCTGTTTTAACGTCAAAGAGTCACTAAATGAACTGTTGTAAGCCAAAGACTACCTGTAGTCATTTGAACAGCCTTGCTTCTGGAGTTATTGCTCTTGTCACACTTCTTTGAATAGTAATTTCCTGCATGAAAAATATGATTTTTGACTAGAAAGGTGGAGACTTTTCTAAAATAGAAGCTATGCCACGGGCATAATACTTGATAGTTCTTTTGCAAAAAGAGAACATAAAGTCTATTTTCCTGCAGGCTTGTGATGCTTTAAGACGAAAAGATAACTATTGTTCTCACCTTGTCTTCATCACTAGGCTTGCTATTTTTCAATGAAATGTTTTTAAGTTATTGGTGTTATTATTGTAGCCTAGATCATTAATACAAAACAATAGGACACCTATACTTCAAAAACTTTCTTTATGTTTTCCAGCTGACTGTATGGTAGATCACACCTATATTGAGTGTACCTCATCCGTAATGCAGGTATTGAAACTTTTCCAGAAGAAATTCCCAGATCACCGGACAGAGGAAATCAGGTAGCTGAAACAGAGGAGATTCCCCTGAAACTAAGAAGGAAATCAGTGTTGTAAATTGCTTAGGGTTTAGTAATTATGTACTTATAAATCTGATCCACATTGCCTGTTTGGTGAATCTTGCAACCATGTGCCTTCACATTCTGAAATCACTGGCAAATTTCAGTGTGAATTTTTTTATGGTTCATTTTCATGTCCTGCTAACCACAACCCATAAGTATCCCAGTAGCTATTTGTACTTGATATATTCTAGAGACTTTGATGTCTTAGCCTGGCTATTTTTGAACACTGAAAGAATGCTAGACTTGTGTTAGCCAATAGCTTGACTGACACCCAGGCAACTTGAAAAGTGACTAAACAGCTTTTCTGAATACTTGCTCAAACTTGCACATCACCAACAAACATTAGAAGAATTATTGATGATTGCTTTCGCTCCTGGCAAGGGATTCTCAGTGGGAGGGGAGACAAACGTGGAATCTAGAAATTTTCTGACAGTGAGAGCAATCAACCAAAGGAACAGCTTGCCTTCAGAAGTTGTGGGGACTTCATCACTGGAGGCTTTCAAGAAGAGATTGAACGGCCGACTTCCGGTTTGAGCCTCTTCATGGACAGACCGAAACCGCGATCGTGCGTGGTTTTGGTCCATGCTCGCCGCTGGAGTGCCCTGAGCCTGCTGGTTTTGGGGCTAAGCCACCCTGTAGAGGTGGTGAAGAGGGGGGGAGACTGCCAGGAGGGTTGAGGAGAGCCGCATCTCTCCTCCTCAGCTGGCCATTACTCCCTTTCCCGAAGGCGGTTGCAGTGGTGGTCAGAAATGGCCACCTCAAAGAAGAACTCGACTGGAAAAGAATGTGCAGGAGGAAGATAACAAGAGAAAGTTTTGGTTGACCAGGTTAAACTGCAAAAGCAACAACTAAGGTACCCTGGAATTTAAACTAAAAAAAAGTAACATTGTTCCCAAAGAAGACTTTGAAGCAGTGAAGGAGAGAGAAAAGGGAAAGGATTTGGTTTTTTTTCTTCTCTCCCTTTCCCTATACTGACAGTTAAGAGATTTAAATAAGAAATTGAAAAAAAAATTCACTTTGACATCAATAGGCATTTAAGCTGAAAATAAAATGTCAAAGGGATAATAAAGATTTCTGGATACTTAAAAGCTTTTAAAAGCAGGAAAGGAGAGAAAAAGAATAAAAGGGCAGGATCTGGAAAAAAGGGATTAATTCTGCCTGGAATTAAAAGGAATTTACAGTAAAACCTCAACAAGACTTCTAAAAGATACATTTTAACTGAAACTTGGCAACAAAATAGTAGAACCCCAGGAAGAGAAAGTGAAAAAAGAAGCATGAAGAAACAGCTTGGGAGTATTTGGATTATTTGGTGATCTCTGGATTTTTAGTTATTGCATTTGAATGACTAAAATCAATCTGGTGGTTGTTTAAAAGTGTTTAAAATGGCACTACTTTTAGAAGAACTGAAAATGGAACTTAAAAAGTACAAAGAAGATGCACAAGAAGGGAGAGGTTCTTTTGGCTTCGTATTTCAATTCTTAGAAATGGAGATCTGGAACTATGAGAAACAACAAGAAATGCCTGCAGAACAAGAAGATTGTGACAAAGAAGAAGCCATCTTTAATGAACAAGTAATTTTATGTGGGGGAAAAAAGGAAAGGGGGGAAAGAGAATGAAAAGTTTAAGATTTGAAAAAACAACCAAGGAAAGGAAGAATAGTTTGAAAAATAAGTACAATATTAGAAAGCAACAGAATAGGGGAATACAGAAGAGAGAATTAGTAGTAGAGAGACAAGGGGGTAAAAAGGGGAGGGAGAAGAAGAGAGGGAAGAAGGAAAGGAAAAGAAGTTATAAAGGACAGAAACAAGATATGGAGAAACAGGGCCTATTTAGAGATAATGGGTGAAAATTTAATTGAAAAAGGGATTCTGCAAAGGTAAAGATAGTATTGTTATATTAAAAATAATTTTAGAAAATATGAAGCAATGTATGATTAAAATGATGGATAAAATAGTTATTATAATCTAGTGAAATGTTTGTTAATAAATAAAGGAAATAAAACGAATGAGAGAATTGAATTAGGAAAGGATGGGAACATTTTAATTATTTAATGTTTTATAAAATATAAGGGAAGAGAAATAGGGGGAAAAAATTAATTATGGAAAGCTTATAAGTGTTCCCAAGGAAGTATGATATTTAATTGAAAAGAAATGTTAAAGATGTTAAGATTTTAATGAATATTAATGATAGAACTGAATTGGAATGGAATGAGTGTTTTAATTACATATATTTATAATCACTTTTTAAGAATATAGTGTGTATTTTAAGAATGTACCAAGCAGAATTCGACTGGAAGTTATGTATTATATTGAATGTTATAACTTCAAGGTATATATTGAAGCTTAAATAAGAGTTGAATGGATAAAATTAAAAGATATAAAGGTGTCATACTCCAATTAGTAACTACAGGAGAAAATTTGTTTAATGAGAAAAGAAAATATGAAATTGAAACAGGACAGACAAAAGTATAAATATAATGATTTGAATTGAGATGAGATAATTAAAATAAAATTGAGAAAATTAAGAGAGGAGAAAAACTATGTAGAAAATGTAAAACAGTAATAAGATATGGAATAGAACATAAAAGTGAGCATGAAATTGAGTTTGTGTCTGTATGAAGAAGTGTAACCCGGGACCATGCTATTTTCAAAAAACGATGTTTTATTTGTATTATGTTTTTTGTGTGTGTGAAAACCCAAATAAAATTTTCAAAAAAAAAAAAAAGAAGAAGAAGAAGAAGAAGAGATTGAACGGCCATTTGTCAGAAATGGTGTAGGGTCTCCTGCTTGGGCAGGGGGTTGGACTAGATGACCTACAAGGTCCCTTCCAACTCTTAATCGGTATCTACCAGTCACTTTCCTTAACTCGTCACTCATTAAAACAGCAAGGATAGCAACATCTTACTATTGAAGCAAAAAGAGATGAGGGATGAAGGCAAAACTGTGTGTGCCGCTATACTTTTCTGCCATTTCAAGGACTAATAGATTACACTTTAATACTGCCCAAGAGTGCCCCAAAAGTTAGCAATTAAGTGACATCTCCCTAAATATTTAAAACACAAATACCTTCCCCATCAGAAAATGATTTAAAGATTGGATAGTTCACTAATGATTTAACGTAGATAAAACATAGAAGTGAAATCCCATTACTGAAAAGATCAAAGTTGCAATTCTGTTACTTATTCTGGAGTAGATTCAAGGGAAAAGAGGGAACTATTACTTTAAGACTATAGTTTGAAAATATAAATTCCCTCTTTATAATAATTAATTAATTAGTTTGCTACCCATCTCGCTGCAAGGCAACTCTGGAATATTCCTGGAATTCTGCCTAGTTTAGATAGCAAGTTTCACAGCCTTCCAATTACTTTATATTCAATAGTAATCTTCAAATGCCCACACATTTTGGTACAACCTTCGGGTATGCTCACACATTGCAAAAGTCACAAATATGAGACTTTTGCCAAGCATCTGAATTTTGATCACATGACCATGGGGGATGCTGCAGTAGCTGTGTGAAAAGTGGTCATTAGGTACTTTTTTCAGTGCCATTATAACTTCAAGCGTCACTAAATTAATTGCTGCAAATTGAAGACTGCCTATACGTTTGAACAATGAGCAAGTGAATCTCAAACTTCTCCTGGTTTAGAAGCCAGTCCTTGGTATCCAAGTTTTAGAGCCTTGATCACTGAATGCCATTCTTTCTGGTGACCCACTTTGATTAAAATTCCATCCAGAAGCTTCTCGGTTCTATCATAACCAAACCCTTTGGTTTCTTTCTCTGCAGTGATACTCTCCATAAGGCCCTGCAGTATTGTCGTAATACACAGAAAGCAGATGGATCTTGGCTAGGGTAAGTTGCTTCTCATTGCTACTCAGTGAATTTAGTTTGCACTGTGCTGATAAAATTTGAAAACGATTCCTTTCACAAAAGGAAGGCATCTCTTTAGGTTGTGTTCATCCAGTGTTTTGCATAAGGGGCATTTAAAAACATCCTTCGTTAAGACACAATGACTAAAAACACGTTCAGTTCTAGTGCTGTGCAAGTTGAACCAAGTGGAGGGTTGCAGCAGGGGATCAGGGCCCACTTTTGATGAAGACTTTGTAGGAGACAGTGGATTTAAAGGTATAAAAGCCTCCCAACTAGTTGAACCATCACACTATATGTACTTCGTTCAAAAACCATTGACCTTAATATATTTCAATGGTTCATGGATCTCTTTTCCTTGCAGGAGATGGGGTGTGTGTTTCACATATGGCACCTGGTTTGCATTGGAAGCATTTGCGTGTTTGGGATACACTTACCATAATGGGTAAGTAAGTTACTTTTCTGGCAGAAAATTGGGGTCAGTGATTGACTGATAGCTCCTCAATTTTTTACTTTGGAATGAGACAAGGGGACATAACTTTATTCTGCTTTGTTGAAAATTCAGTGTTAACTCCCTAAAATAATCTGGGTAGCACATGGCCCTTCCCATATTTCATATTTTTATAAGCTTTAGAAAAATCTGATTCTCTTTAATAGAGATAACTGTACCAGGCAGCAAATACAAACAAATAAATGAACAAAAAAAAGCACACGTGTTTTGGTGTGGTATGCACAAAACGGTATGGTAAGGAAGAATAATTGTTTAACAAACAGCACTTTTAAAAGCATGTTATTCTATAATTCTGTTCTTTCATTTAGTTTCCGAGTTTGGAGAGGAATATTGTGAAAGTTTGAAGGTATGAAACAGTGAGATAGGAAATAATCATGCAAAAGATAAAGCAATTTTTGAGTGTTACATATTTCTGATTTCCTGCCACTTTCTTTATTATATATAAAGAAAAATAAGTCCTTTCACTGGTAGTTTCTCCTTTCATCCATACCCTAAACCTTGTGTTGCTTGAAATTCACTTGGATGCAACCCAGTCCCATAATGGAACAGATCAAATCACAGAATCATAGCATTAGAAGGGACCTTGGAGGTCATCTAGTCCAACTCCCTGTTATCAACTGTATCATTTTTTAAAAGAAAATTAGTATGTGTCATATTTTTCAGACTGGCATGCAACGAAGTGACCAGGGCCTGTGCCTGGCTGGTCTCCAAACAAATGAAAGATGGCGGTTGGGGAGAAGAATTTGAATCCTACAAGTTTCGCAAATATATTCAGCATACCATTTCCCAGGTCCACCAAACTGCGTGGGCTCTGTTGGGGCTGATGGCTGTTAGGTAAGTGCAAAGACCTAACAGTGTTTCTTTTAGGGAACCCTGATGTGGAGGAAAAGCTAATATATATCAAGGAACACAAATTAGGCCTAGGCCAGAGGTCTCCAAACTTGGCCACTTTAAGACTTGTGAACTTCAACTCC